TTCATATTTTTACATCGATCCCTGTAGTTGTTTTTTTCTGTAACGAGGAGAAACATTGAAAGTAAGGTTGTTTAAACTTGAATACGATACCTGCTTGTTACCACGGCAACAGAAATAAAAGCCCTGGATGCATTCCTGTGTGACGACTCTTCATCTAGCAGCAGCACCTGTTTCTGTGTTTTCATTATTTTGTTTTATTTTGTTTTATGGCAATCGTCATTAAAATGGTTTAAATGGAATTGTACGGAAGAGGATTAGGGCCAAACATGAGAAATACATATGAAAGGAGGAAGATTTTAATTTCAATATGCACTCGAAAAAAGTCGAAATGTTGAGAAAAAAAGTAAATTTCAGGAAAAAATACAATTTAAATACAATTTTGAGAATTAAAACAAATTGTACTCAACTTATTTCTTAGTCTTTCTACTTTTATCCTCCACATTTAGATTTTGACTTTCGACCGTGTGTTTTTCTCTCCAATGTGGAATAATTTCTGAACATTTAGATTTTTTAACTTTTCTCTCTACATATCAACTTTATTCTTAACATTTCAACGTTTTCTTCTACACTTCTTTATTTCTTGACATCTAGACTTTATTTCTGGAACTTCTTAATGAAACTAACCCTCCTCTGATTATTTCTTGCTCGTGTGTGACCCAGATCGGCCTCCGTAGATTGAGATTGATGTGATTATAAAATATTATTACGACTGTTATAAAAACTATCAGTATATTCAGAGGAAAGAAGATCATTACTGCAGAATGAACAAGCCATTTTGTTATCAAGTTTATTGAAATAAAGTGACTGATATGTAAAGTGTTTGATGTGTCTGATTGATGTGTTTGTTTGATGTGTTTGATGTGTTTGATGTGTTTGATTGATGTGTTTGATGTGTTTGATTGATGTGTTTGATGTGTTTGATTGATGTGTTTGATGTGTTTGATTGATGTGTTTGATGTGTTTGATTGATGTGTTTGATGTGTTTGATTGATGTGTTTGATGTGTTTGATTGATGTGTTTGTTTGATGTGTTTGATGTGTTTGATGTGTTTGATTGATGTGTTTGATGTGTTTGATTGATGTGTTTGATGTGTTTGATTGATGTGTTGATGTGTTTGATGTGTTTGATTGATGTGTTTGATGTGTTTGATTGATGTGTTTGATGTGTTTGATGTGTTTGATTGATGTGTTTGATGTGTTTGATTGATGTGTTTGATGTGTTTGATTGATGTGATTGATGTGTTTGATGTGTTTGATTGATGTGTTTGATGTGTTTGATTGATGTGTTTGATGTGTTGGATTGATGTGTCTGATGTTTGATGTGTTTGATTGATGTGTTTGATGTGTTTGATGAGTTTGTTTGATGTGTTTGATGAGTTTGATGAGTTTGTTTGATGTGTTTGATGAGTTTGTTTGATGTGTTTGATGTGTTTGTTTGATGTGTTTGATGAGTTTGATGAGTGTGTTTGATGAGTTTGATGAGTTTGTTTGATGTGTTTGATGAGTTTGTTTGATGTGTTTGATGTGTTTGATGAGTTTGTTTGATGTGTTTGATGTGTTTGATGAGCCGACAGGGGGCAGACAGCAGCTTCTCTTTAAACAGGAAATCTGATGGTTTTGTTTTTAGCTCAGCAGCTCAACAACATGTAGCTACCAAAGCGAACGAAACACCCAGAAAGTGTCCCACAAAGCCTGAATGTAGAGAGCAAGCTGCGTTGTTAGGAGAGATGTCTTTAAACGTGGACTCCGGTAAGAGTTCATCTCCTGATTGTTGCTCCTTCGTCAGAAGTTAGCAGCTAAAGCTAACCCCCTCTATATGCGTAGTTAGCTTTTTGCTGTCAGTTCTTATTATTAGTTCACTTTAAAACAGTAAATATCGACATAACATTACGGATTAAATCTTGATCTTTATATGTGATGTTTGATTTTTGGTTTACGGACAAGTTTTGGTCGAATAAACGAGTTTATACCGGTGTTACGGTTTAAAGAGTGACCGTGTCAACTGGCGACTTTTCAGTAGCATCAGATGTTGAGTTCCGAAAGTGTCCAAACTAATGTCTTTATGTTTAGTCTTTTATAATTATTACTCATCAGATATTTCGTTATTGAAAAACACAAAAAGAGGAATTAGTCAGGACACTTTTCCGTCTTCAACATCTGTCGTACGATTCGTAACCACGACAACCGCAGACAGACTGGGCCGGAAGTCTCCAGTTAACAAGGTCACTCTTTACAACACAACACCGGCAGGTAGTTTGTAACGCTAGCTTTGACCCTAACCTGTTCATGTTCAGAAGCTTCCTGACAAATAAACGTTTCTAGGTTTTTACACGCCACATTAAACTCTCTGTTTTAATAAATTACAGATACATTAACCGTTATTTAGATTAGATTACTTTATCTGACCAAAAAGTCCCATTATGAACTTTTTAATTTGATGTCAGTCACATACAGTGATCAAAATGTTGTGTTTTCACCAACATTTAAATACAGTATTATTA